CACACACACACAAACTGACCCGTCTGGGATGCGTCCGGTGATCTTGAGTGAGGCCGGGTTGCGTATCAGTCGGTCGAGGGCAGAGACGATGGCACAGAATCGCGGGCGAGACGATCTCTCCTTCTGCCAGCAGTCCAGCATCAGCTGGTGCAGAGACGCAGGGCATTCTGGGGGAGGAGGCAGGCGGTAGTCCTGCTCGATGGCGTTGATCACCTGCACACAAACACACATCGTCATCATCACTCGGCTCAGAACACACTCGTCCGTCAGATTATACCGCGCTCTGAAACCTCACTCACGTCCTGGTTGCTCATGTCCCAGTACGGCCTCTCTCCGAACGACATCACCTCCCACATGACGATGCCGTAGCTCCAGACGTCTGACGCCGAGGTGAACTTACGGAAGGCGATGGCTTCAGGAGCCGTCCAGCGGATCGGGATCTTCCCGCCCTGAGACGCAGACAGAGATTCTGAGCGTTACGAACCCCGACGCTCACGTACAACACCAGCATCATCATGTGACACATGAATACTAAACCTACCTGAAAAACTCAGAGCACTCTTTATCTCATTTCTATCTTTGTCCTGTTTGTAAAGTTACTTCTTCATTCTTATTTTAATAATAAAAATACTAAATAACAAAAATAACTATCTTGTTTAATAACGGTGTCAGAATTTGGTAAGATAGAAAATAAATAAATAAAGATTTCTGCATTTAGTTTTTTGTTCTGTCATGTATGAATATTGGACATCTACTGTTAGATGTAATGTGGTAAATGTTGTGTCATAATTATAATAAAGAGTCTGGAACCTACGACTACAAAATCAGATGATACAAAATTGTAATATACTAATTATTAATAAAATATAAAAAATTTGTCTCAAATTTGGATTTGGAACTCTAATTTACCACAATTATGTCAGACCTTTAACAAAAAAAACTAAAAACAAACAAAAAAATATATTTATAAAAACAAAGACAGGACAATTACTGGAAATTACCAAAATAAAGTAATTTTGATTGCAAAAAATGTAATGAAATGATGGCGGGACTATCATTGAGTGCATGTATTGAAGGGTGTGGCTGGTGTGTCCTCACCAGTGAGCTGGTGTATGTGGGGTCAGACGAGTTCTCCGCCCGGGAACCTTGAGCCGGCCGCGACACACCTCACCGAACTCACCTGCACACACACACACATATGAAGACTATCAGATTCACACACACACAATAGCGTAACGTGAGCAGTGCTTTCATCAGGTATGTGTGGCCTATATTACTGCTGTTGATGCAGAAACACGAGCCCCGCGCCACACCCGCGCTCAACAATCACACACACGGTTCTCACCGGCACCGATCACCTCCTCGATCTTCACAAACGACACGTCGATCTCTTTAGCGAACTCCCTCACTGCCTCGTTCGGATCCTCGTATGTGAACGGATCGATGTACACTTTAATCCCTGTGAGAAACACACACACACACACACATACACACACACACACACACACACAATTAAACCACAACCACAACAAAACATCTGAACAATGTCTGAAACCGTATGAGCTCTTCTCAGGGTTGTGTTCCTCATTTCTAAGCTGCTTTGGATGAAGGCATCTCTACTAAAATATACTGAATGTACTAGATGTACTACAACTGAAATCGTTATTTAGACATAACTATATTTAATTATCTAAAAAAGTATATACAAAACTTGTTTATCATTACTTTTTATAAGTAAATATGCTATTATATTACTTGTCATTTGTAAATAATATTTAATAATCAAAAATAATATGTAAACTATTATGTTTTTTTTATTTATTATTTTAATTTTATATGTAAATATTATTTACTTTATAGGGCAATTATAAATAATATTTAATTATATAAAATAATATAAAGTATTTTTGCTGCATGTTATTATTTGTATTTATTTTATAAATGTACATTACTTATTTTAGGGTTAGCTGCACACATGTTCAGACTTTTAGAACACTAGTTTTTCGCTACGTGATCGAATACTTAAAAATTACTTTTGTTGATGTAACCTTACGTTGAAGTGAATTTATTAGTGTTAATTCATATTTTTGAGCTTAGTCAAAATAATAATAATACAAACAGGTCATGCACATGTGGCCACATGAAGCACATTTAAAGAGTCTCAGTCCGCAGCAATGCATCAGGCCGGTGCCTGGCAACAGTACACAGCTAAACTCATGTGAACTCTAACAGCATGTTTGTCTGGTGACGGCGCGACCGCTCATGTGTCTGCAGCACTCTCACATGTCAACAACACAAACCAGCGCTGAGAGCCGACAGATTTACCGCGGTATAACACATTCCTGATCAGAGGACGTCACACTCACCCTGACCCATCAGGAACTGGCAGCTCTTATCCGGGTCCGGGTCCCGTGTGCGGCTGGAGCGCCTGAGACACACACACACACACACACACACACACACACACGTGTTTAGAC